CTACGAAAGTCTCTGCTCTCTACTCATCTTAGCAATGAGATAACCAGAGAGCGAAGCTTCTCTGAAACAATATGAAAAACTTTCCTACTACAGAACAGACTTTAAATCAAGATGGATGCTATTGGGACAATCTTAGGACTACATATCCCATTCTAATACACATAAAAACACAAATCATCACACTGGTCTTCTGACCCTGCAGCACAGGCTTCTGCGGTTTAGCCCACAGCGCCACCATGTCCTTGAGTTACAGGATGGAAATTTTTCATGGCAGCCACAACCTTTCTTTTACTACAACAGTGTAATTTTAAGACATTCATTTCAGGCCAAGGCAGAATTCCTTTGAGTGTGTGTGCAATTTCATGAGTGCTGATGTTAGGAGAGAGATGAGATGTTGTAGTATTTAATTGCTGCCTTCTTAGTAGAGCACTTTCTTAGAGAGATTAATAGTCTTAAAACAAGTAATTCCAATTCTAGCTTATTTATGTATAACCTTTTAATGACTGTCTACAGTAGTCAGTGTCTAAGAATTCTTTCAAAGATACAATGTACAGTATTTGCGTGAGCAAGATAAGGCACAAGGACAACTTTGAAAACATATTCAAAAAAGTTTTAGCAGTTTTAGCAAAGGAGAAGTCCTCATACTTTGGAAATATTGCAAGAGTTCGACTTCTGATTTTTTTAACCATTCTTTTTATTTGAATGTTCTGTGATGAAAAGAACCTTTATGTTTAGCATATATTAACACAATAAACCAGTAATAGTAACAGAACTAACCGGTAGCAGAGCAGGTTCAGTACAGGGTGTTTCACAGTTAATTTACCTTTAAAATTAGTAAATTATATATGTCCTTCCACGAGTCAACATGAGATTCTGGAGTCTGGGTTGAATCAATATTTATGCTTAATACTGTAGTTTATGAGTGGATACTGTATGTCCAAGAATGTGGAGTGGCTTCTCACTGACTTCACTTCAACTTGTTCTGTCAGCTTTTCCCATACATTTGTATACCATTGAGCAAGAGCTAACTCATAACTCCTGTGAGTAGGCAAGCCATAAGATATAATGGAGCCATTAAAAATTTATATGATCAATTTAAATTTTCTTCTGTAAAAAAAGACAGCAGGCCCAACACAGATGACACTACCATTTTTTGATTGGTTAACAGGGGGTGTGGCTACAGAGCAGGAAAAATGAGAATGGACCCAATGTGAAGTTGCATCTGGGAAGTTATGTTTCCACAGATTAATTCATTTCAGCCACATAGGAGTCAACAGAGAGAGGTGAGGTGATCAGTATTGTTTGCAGCTTGTTAACTATTTGAATCCTCTTACCGAAATATGGTGCCTGGGTCTCCTTCCTTCCTTCCTTCCTTCCTTTGTCCTTTTCTTTCTTTTAAGGGTTTGTTGTCCTATTGCTGGGACAGTTAGGTGACCAAAGAGGGGGGAAAAGAGCAAGGAATCAGTGGAGAGGACGTTTTCAGTTCAGCCTTGTAACCTGTTCTAAGGTTGCTCTGCTTTGCTCTGACCATCCAGATTTGCAGGAGGCACAGTTAGGGCAGAGCTATCTTTAAACTTCCTCCTTGCCCTCTGTCAGTTCCTCACTCTTCTTTTTCCATTGGTTAACTAACGACCTGGTGCTAGATTAGCAAGCCCTTCAAAGGGAAAGAAGAGGGGGAGGAGACAAGGAGACCAAGACACCAGGTGCAGGAAGGAAAGGATTCAAATGGCAGCCACTTTCCCCAGTGACCTGCCTTTCTCAGTGCTGCAGCAACCAGCCAGCTGGAATGACTTTAAATACAATGACTAAAAACCCCTTCACATTGACTCAAGTGATCACACTGTCTGAACTGTTGTTGGAGCTTTTTGATTTTTTTAAAAGTAAAAGCGGCAGAGGAACATACAAATTGTGGGAGGGGGACTTTGAGCAGATTCATGTTGATTCACATTGACATCATGTAGTCAGTGGAAAATAATCCAAATCAGGCTATCCAAATCCTGGAGCATTTCCTGCAATATTTGTCTAAGACTCTAAGTAATCACACCCAGATTCTATTTCTTTAAATACTAGCATGCAGAAGTAAGTATCCTCAGACAAAATCAGCACATATGATTACAACTCAGCTCCTGACATCCTCTCCAGCATTTTGAGTTCAGTGTATTCAATCCTGCTAGGCTTGTTCTGATACTACTGGAAATAAATTCTAAAGACAATTTTCCCGCCAGTCATTGTCAAAGTTAGTGATTCCTAATACACCCACTCACCAGTTTTTATTATATCTTACAGTTTTAGTTTCCATCTGCTGCTCAGGACCATATAGAAGGTGTTAGCTGGTTTTCAAGGATCTGGACACTTAGCACTTTTTTTCTCTCTCTCCAGAGGCACTGCACCGCCCCTATGGTTGTGACATTGAACCCCAGGCACTGAATGAAGCCATCAGGTGGAGCTCCAAGGAGAACCTTCTTGGAGCCACTGAGAGTGACCCCAATCTTTTTGTTGCACTTTATGATTTTGTAGCAAGTGGTGACAACACACTCAGCATCACCAAAGGTAAGTTGAACTATGCTGTGTATTTGTGTCCACACAAATGTGACGATAGTGTGTTTGGAGTTCCACATTATGGTCTAGGTTTTGGCTCGTGACCCCCAGTTTTCTGCAATTTGCATTATTCAGACCATACATGTCACAAATAGTGCATGATTGTGTGTTTTTGTGTTTCATTCCACAGTGCTTCTGCTTCAGTGTTACATTCCTTCCTTTCCCTTCCCCTCCAAGACCATCTTCTCATCATCCTGATTTCCTCTTCCTCCAGCAGTGCTGTTTGGTTTCTTTCTTTTCGACAGAACAAGCTTTACAGGTCACCACAATATCAACAGCAACAGAAAACTGCACTGACCCCATATATCTATACATAAATTCGAGATGACATAACCTCATTTCTTTCTTAAGACTTTTGTTAATTGGCATGTATTTTCTTTGCTGCCAAAGCAAATTTTGCTGGTTGATAGGTAGTATTTGCATCCCTACCCACAAGCAGCATGCAAAGTTGAGCCAAAGAGGATCTATCACATAGGAGTCTGAGAATGCCAGCAAAAAGTTGGCTTCTGGGGTGCTCATACAAAAGTCAACTTTCCATACAAATGGAAAGCATCTTCAACCTCTTTCTGATCCACAGATACAGAGTCCTTGATGAAATGGGACAGACATTATCATATCTCCCCTCCAAAATGTCTGATGACATACACTGAAAATGTAAAGCTGTGAATGCTTTTCTTAAAGGGGCTGAGGTTAGATAAATAAAATAATTCTCCCAACCGAATGATGTTTTGTACAGAGGGAACTAACAAGAATAGGACATTTGTGAGATGGCACACAAATCCAGCCAGTTAGAGTGAAGATTGATTCTTTCTTTAACCAGATGCTTGGCTTGATTAGAGGCAAAAGTGGGCAAAGACTCTGTGTCAATCCCACAGCTCTGTAAAATGGGTCTAAGTTTACCCAGGACTTTTGAGAAGGACTATGGAGTTGTTCTTTGTAGCACTTCTTTGGGAGGCAAGAGTCGCTCATGCAGGGCAATTTCAACCAATACATGGCCAATGCAATGTTTCAGTTGGGGTTAATCCTAATTCAGCCCTTAAATATGCAGCAGATATGCTATGGGGGACTGTTAGGAGAGATTGCATGAAGTAGTTTTGAACTACTTTTTGAGTGAGGATATCCCCATATCTCTGCTCCATATTATTTGGGGTACCAGTTTCTTGGCATATAAAGAAACTCGACTAAATTTCCCCCATGAGTTATGGTAAACCGCAAGAGACTGAGTGGAATGGGATGCTTTCAAACTGGTCTCTTGAAACAGTAGGACATACATCGAAATCCGGTGCGGATTTGAGAAGGTCACTAAGTTGCTACTGGAAATTGAGAGGTCCTACCTGGCAAGGCTGTTGTGCATTCTAAGAAAGCACATAGTCAATGGTCTATTGCTTTGGAAGCAGGCAAAGATTACTTTTAGGATCAGGTTTGTCCATGGGGATTTTACTACACACTTCTGAGGCCTAAAGAACCTACCTCAGGCAATAAAGGTGGTAGTTTTGCACCCACAGTGACTCCCTGACCCGCGATCATCTCTTTAGGGAGAGGTAATTGTCACAGTGCTTCCACAAAAGTTGAACTCCTCTATCTGTTGGTATTGTCTTCGACAGCAGCCCATTTGCCCCAAGCCTTACCCTAAGATTAGTATTTCAGTGACGCACCTGAATTAAAAATAACAGCCTTCTGTCTATATTGGTGGTGGAAAGTTTTTGCCACAGATGGTCTCTATCTATAAGGTCAAAGGCTGATCTGAAATCCACAAAGATGACATAAAGCTCCTTCTTACCTAACTGGGAATATTTTTGTATCAGGTACAAAAATATCATCACCTGATACAAAAGTATTTACAAAGCATTGATCTGCAGTGGATTTTCCATTTTCAAACCCTGCCTGTTCTTCTGCTATTAAAATACCATCATATTTCTCCAACGCTGGCCACATTGCATTGGCTGCCCATTCGTTTCCGTGTCGACTTCAAAGTTTTAATAGTTACTTACAAGGCCCTAAACGGTTTAGGACCTCGATATTTGGCGGAACGCCTGCTTCCACCAAGGTCTACCTGGATCACCC